GATTAACGACACAACATCAAGAGTAGAGAGCAGTTTTGTAAGAAAAATAGAGCCAAAGACTGAACTACAAACTCACTTACTAAATGTGTTTAGCCATTTTGGAAAATTTCATATCCAAAATAATAATGATAACAATCGGCGAGTGTACATAAGTAGCGGGAGGATATCTCAGATTGCCGAAATGAAATTTCCGGTCTCAGGAGTGTGCTTCACTTAGCGAATTAAATCCTACTGTAAGCTAAGAGTCGGTAGATCTCCGGCACTAATGGTGATTAAACCGCACAATTTATGGCCAACAGTATTTCATGCAAACGACGATGACTTTGGTAATCAAGGAATAAAGTCACTCAAGAGCTTCGGACGCAGCTTAAGACCTAAAGATCTCTGTAATGAAACTAACACTTTGGAGTGTGTAAAAACACTTCATACAGTAAAACAATTATCTTCTACTGTTCATTCATTTAAACTTTTAGTATTAAAATATTCTAGTTTCAATATCAAATCAGCTGTCAATTTATTATTCCAATAAATTGTCAAAGTTTTTGGCACTCATTTTGATTTTATCAGGTTAAATTTCAATGCTTGCAATATTTAATTGCTAAATTTTGATGCATACAGTCATCACCAAAAATAATTTAATTATTTTTGTTTAACATTGAATTTAATTCAACACCGAATAAGTATTTAGAGAAGTTATATTTATTCATTTATATGAAGCAATAATTAACATTTATCAAATAGAAACATTTAAATGGGCGATATTTTTATTAATGAATTTCTTTTTCCACGCCTTTACATGTTATTTAATTAAAAGGTGTCAATATAACTCGACATTTTATGTAAAGTAGAATTTATTATATATTAAATAATACTAATAAATAGGACACTTTAGTTACTGATATGATATAAATATTTAACAATGTTGTAGTAAAGACCAAACTTGTAGTCTTTTATTGATATTGCGTAAGGTCAGGTTTCGAATAAATTACTTCTCCAACAAACTTTCAAAGTCATCAGGAGATTTTTTTGACATTTGCATTTATGCCTTTACAATTATTCGAATTAAAATAAGTAAACACGATAGATTGGCTAGAAATCATTTTATTACACTTAATCAATGATGACATTATCTGTCAACAAAATTATTAACTAAATAATAAACTTAAAAAAAACTTAAAGAAAGAATTAATTAATTTTATCAAATGTCTATTTAATAAAAAGAATTTTAATTAAACTTTGCAATTTAATTTTTCTCAAATAAAAATTAAAACTTCTGGTGGTAAAGTTAAAGATCGGAAGGCTTGAGAAAATAGAAGCAAAAGTTATTTACTACCTGTACTAAGTATGAGGGTCATGATGGGGCCAATTGACATAATGGAATAGTCATAAAACAGGTCCTATTTTGGAAACAAACAGCAACCACCAGTCGTGTTATCGATTTCATTACAGTTCTGTCCATCTTGATTTTCTCACGCCCACCTAGTCACGCATTGGGGACGTTTATGACCTTTTTTCGATACCAAGCACCACAGGAATTCTACCCCAAGAGACTGGGAAGATCTGGTGGTAGCTTTGCCTGTTGAGAGGGAACGTGCTGGAGCATAATTTTCGCTAGATAAGTTTTCCAAGGTGGATCAACATCGATCCTGAGAGACTCGTCTATATGTTTCTACCTCTTTCCTAAAGTTAGAGCGACAAACTTTCGGGTTAACGTCATGGTAGAAGGAATATTGTGGTAAAAACTTGGATGACATTAGTTTCATCAGTCTTGGTTGGATCATCGTTAACTCTTATTGCAGCACAACTGCATACAGTAGTCAGTAGTATACAGCTTGCGTAATTTATCTTGTTTAAATGCCAATGACGTGAGTTAACAATCATCGCTTCAAGTCTTTAAGAGAAGTTGACGTTGCTTATTTCAATGATATTGTTAATCGTTGTAATTTTATATTCAATATATTCCAAACATAACAGTGATGCAGTTGCTTGAAGGATACCAGAGTAAAGATAGAGTAGGACATAATAGAACAGGGGAAAGTTGCTGCTTGCTTCGATTACCTTTGTCTCGTTGCTACTTCAAACACTCTTAGTGCTCAATCGTAATATAATAGGGTGTCCGGGGGCGAATAATACATCGATTCTGCATATATGTACAGTCCTTAACAAAATTATCTCCCTCAGATATTATTAAACTACTTTTATTTAACAATATTCATTCTATTTTTACGCAAAGTTAAATATTTGAAAATATGTATTTTTAGCTTGGGTTATTTTTAAAAAATGTAAACCAACGAATTGAGAAATCATTATAGTGGTATAGATAACTCCAATTTTCATGTTAATGGTCTTTATTTAATTAGCTTTGTGATCGAGTTAGAATTAAAAATTTTGGAGTAAATATTTAATAATTTCCTTTCAACTGAGTGGCATTCAAACCAATACATAATTGATTATATTTTTTTTTTTGTTTGAATAATTGTTCTAATGAATGATAAATTTTTCTCAAATATAAATATTATTTTAAATTCATAGACTATGATTACAGACATTTTTAATGCTGCTCCAAAATGATCTATCAATATAAAATTTATAGACGATCGTATAATATTTAAATGCTTCCTACAATCAATGATTTTAATTTATACTGATAATAAAGCTTTGATGATGCATTGGCATAAAAATCGGTATAGATTTATACTTGGTAATTTCAGACACGCCCTAGAAAACTTTTTACGACGGTTTGTTCACGAGTTATGACTAATCCAAGTAAAAACCCCTACGTTAATAATAAATAAGTCTGGGAAAAAATCGTAAATCGATCAATAATTAACGAGTTTCAAGCTGAAGGTGGTGTGTACACCATTGAAGATATTATATTCAAAAGAAAAAAAAAATAGAAAAAGTTTATATGTATATGTACATGAATATTTCAACCTCGTTCTAAACTGGATAAAAATCATTCGATTATTTTTGACCGATACTGTATTATAAAAGGTACATATATTTCCAGACCTCTCCCCTCCCCCTTAATCATACAAGGGAGGCATGGCGATTGCTTACAAGCAGCTGTCACGTTCAGGTGCATAGAAAAAAAATGGGAAAAAAACTATGGATTCGTTTTATATGTCGGTAGTTAAATTATGAAATGTTGAGCATGACATTCAATGTAATTTGCACAGTGTTCAAAGTATTATTGAAAGAATATTGGAATGCAAATGATGTCATAGCGAGAGCTGTATATACATAGATATATACACTACACAATATTTAACATTGAAGGATAAAATAAGTTGTGATATCGCGTGCAAGTCGATCGCAAAGATATAATAATGTCAGCGTCACGGAGTTCCAAGAAGGATAGCACAAGAATTTAGTTATTATTTTGCTACGCGTATAGCTACAGCTCGTACAGCATCTCAACGCAACTTAGGTCCCCTAGGGGCCCAATGAAAATAAATCCCCACTATCATTCTTAGCCACAAGCAACAACAACAGCAGCAGCAGCACCTCTCCAACCTCTCTATACATTACTACACCACCATACCTTGAGGGACCAGCTTGGAAGCTGGCATAAACCGGTTTTCAACGTCTACAAACTCTACTACGGTATCCTCAACTAAACGGCAACGCACGGATTAACTCGAAACACAACTTAAACCAACTTGAATAATTATTTATATAATTGGTCTTCGTTGGTCTCTCTCACCAACAGTACAAACTTGGTCCTTGAACCCAAAAAGCAAACCTCCACGCGTGAGAAACACGATCCAACGATGCGGATAATCTTCAACGTCTGCGTTATGTTCTTGACCCGCCTGAATCTCTCGAGCGTGGCAGAGTTTAGTTTTAGTAGAGGAAATAGTCAAGGAAAGAGTTTTGGGAAGCTATCGGTCAAAAATAACAACTGTGGTCTAATATTATTTTCGAATTAATAACGAAACCTATTATTTCCCGGTAATGATCATCAACATTGTATTCTTTGAACATCAACTTTTTCCGTATGTCGACTATGACCTTCTGATTCTCGTTAGGACAGTTTTTTTGCAAACGTTATTTATTATAGAATTAACGAGAATAAAGGTAATCAGAAAAACCGGATGATTATTAGCAGAATAAAGAAAATTTACTATTTGATTTCGAATTTTAAAAATGAATAAAACGTACTTTTATTGTAGCTGTACGACTGTTATCAAATAAAAAATATATTATTCCTGCAATAAATACTGACAGTTATATTTCTGCTCTACAGTCATTAACGTCACCTTACGCCATAATTTCATTTTAAAATTTTCAAGATACGATTCTTTATCATCACTACGTTATTCATTATGAAAGTTGAAATGTTCTATTTACTTCGAGCATACTTAAAACTGATGAAACTGTTAATATATTTTTGCCCGAGATACTCCGAAATAATAGAAAAATGTTGAAAGAACTTTTCTAATCATTTGTTAGAAAAAAAAATTTAGAATATTTTGAAATAAATATCAATAATAGTTTAAGAACACTATACAAGAAAATTTTTATCAATTTTTATTGAATTATGTTCCATGGAAAATTATTTATTCATCAATTTAAGAAATTTTGGAAATAAATCCATTCATTTCTTTAGAATTAATCTTTTTCTCAATGTTCCTTAAAGCCTCGAACTTTTTCAAAGAACATCTTTAGAAGTTTTTTTATTACCCTACATTTAGAATCATCTTGATCATCAAATATATTTCCCACACATAAAAATTTTTTTGGGATCTTCCGGACAATTATGATGACTAAACGACATGATTTCCTTCTAAAAGAATTATCTAACAGAAAAAAATATCATTTGAGATGCCGAATCACCTTTATAGAGGCGTAAAATATCCGAAGATAAACAATGGTTTGCACTTTATACTTTACACAAATATCGAGTTACTCCGGGGTAAGGTAACTAAACGAAGGTAGTTTGACAGAAAGTAAATAAGAAACCAAATAAGTTGAATAGAAAAAAAGATAAAACTCACCGAAAAAGATCCTCAAGTTGGTAAGCTAATCAAGCAGGTCAATCACCTAAGCGTTCACCAGAGCCACCACGCGACAGTTTCCGAAGAACCGCCTGGACGATCGTCGTCGCGCCAACATCAGCTACTTCTCCAGCGTCTTCTGATCACAAATCGAAAACTTTTGATAAATAACTAAATGTTGCACGAATATATGACAGAAATTTCTGTCAATAAAACTATATAAAAACTTCTTGCACTAAAATAAAACAAAATACCGAGCACTTTGGAGCACTCGCGACAAGAATTCCAACAAGTTACAGTGAAAAACAAAATAAACTCAATTCTCAACCAAATTCACTCAGCACGCGTTTCACTTTATTTTGTCTCAACGATCCGTGAATAAATAAATAATAAATATTATTCAATACATGATCGAAAGAGTAATATTTCAGCACACTTGTTTGATCGTCCTGTTCGACAGAACATTCCAAAGTTATTAACACTCCAAACGAAAACAACACACGCGGCAGTCAAGTCGCAACTGTCGAGCGTTGAACAGTCGACCTCTGAGCGACGCTGCGCCCCCACTCTAAGACTCGCGTTGCTTACCCCCTCTCTCGATCAAACTACTTCGTTTCCTGCAACAGTCGCGCACTGTCTCTTTAAGTATACTATTTTCTCTCTCGGCTCCGTCTTTCTCCTGTTTCTTTTGTCCTGCACGTTTATTCATAAGTAGAAAAGAACGAAGGGGGGAAAATAGGGGGATTCGCGGGCACCAGGGGGAAGTGATTGTGTTGCCCTGCGGTCCCAAGATCGGGGTCCCATCATCTCCCTCTTTCTCCCTCTATTCTTACTCCAGTCTCGTATATAAGCGTTTTCTTTTTCTCTCCCTATACACGATCTTCTATACCACTTGTGCGTTGGAGTTTTTTTACTATCTGGTCTTTTTAGCTTTAGAATAAATAAAAGTCAACGACGAGGAAAAATAGGACCGTCGAGTATAGTAGTGAAAGGCCAGCATAAGTTATTGTAAAAGACACAAGCAAAGTCACGCTTTGGGATTGCAATTTTGGATAATACCATGTCTTAGACAAGATTCTCGACGTGACATCGCGTAATTCGACCACCCGGTTGCTGTTGTCCTTGGGATCAAGCACTAGACCAAGTAATTACGATGGCTCTCAAGTAAATTGACTTGAATTTTAAACTTCACTTTACTCTATAATAATAGTTTGACAAGTAAAAAATATTGAATCATAATGAAGCTATAAATTTGTCCGAGTTTAACTAAAAACAGTATTATCTCTTAGTTTTGACAGCGAAAGTCGTGACAAGTTGCATGCAAAAGTTACCAAATAACTTGAAAAGAAATCCAATGAAACATTTTTTTCTGATCTTTTATTATAATATGTTTTGTTAAGCAATCATCGTATATATATATATTTCACAATATTATAAACTATTTTTTACTCAATGAAACCCACATGAAAAAAATATTTAAAATTTTTATTTTATTTTAATGATCAAAAAATCATTGATTTTTATTCAAGTCGTTATTGAAAGTGTGAGAATGAAGTGAAAATTTCTTTTTCGATCATTAATTATCCATTACCTAATTTTTAAAGAGTTTATGTGATGTGAATAGATAAACATGTCTCATAAATTCTTAATGCATAAATTTTTGTCAAGTTAATAAAGTAAACAAACATTTAAAAATTCCTGTTTTCACTTTATCATTCATAAAACATATTTTTTTTTTTCTTAAATCACATTGGAAAGTGGTGTTAAATATTATTAAATAAATAAATGAATAATAATTATAAACTGTAAATAAACGTAATGTTTAATATTAATTAATAATTTTTTAGAATTACCATAAATTACATATAAATTTTCAGTCTCTAGTAAATAATAGTATTAGAATAATAAATGATAGTTTATGAATATATGAGTAAACTCTGATTATATATGAATAGAGTTGGGATTATAATTGAAATACTAACGTAAATTATTTAATACTCATTATTTTCAACTTGAACAGAAATTCAACAATGCCTAGATTGAATTCCCAATAAAATTGTGGTACCATTAGGTGAATTAAATTCTCTGTTAAGTTATATTTTTAGATTAATTTACAGTAATGACGATATTCATTATTATACATATATTGAATAAAATATGTATTGCATCGCGTACAAACTAAAGATAATAAAAGAAAAATCATTTAGCATTACAAAGCTTTACTTTTCCACAATAGTTTATATTAAAGCTTTATTCAATATTGCTAAAATAAGGACATACACATTTTTCATGAGTATCTATCAGATTTTTATTTCAACTTAATAAAAATAAATAATTTCAAGTGAATTTTATATGAAGCAATCAAAGAAAAAGTAAACTCTTGGCTGAGTATTTTTTTATGATTCATTGAAATAAATTTCTTCATTGCTTTGATTATTGATTTTTCTAACGAGACTATTAAAAATAATCACATCGAGTAAAATAAGAACAATTAAATTTTATACATGTTAAAAATTTAGAAATAAAAATTACTCGATTTATCCAAGTAACTCTAGAACATTTTTAAATTCTCTTTTGTATAGATAATATTTTAAAAATAAATTTAAATAACAATAAAAGTTATCATCACATCTATTATTTGATTGTCACTTAGTATTTTTAAACTTAGTATTCATCAGTAATTCGGCAAATATTGTCCTTTTTGTGCAGTAATGAAATTAATACACTCTTTTTATTTTCATCTGAATTTCCATCCAACTGCCAATTATTGCTCTTTATTCATGAATATTTTTATTATATTAATTATTTAAAGTTATTTTACTGACGATTTATCAAATGGAATAATTATAAATATGAATTGTGTATAACCAATTAATCTGAATTAAAATTTTCAATCGAAACAACGATAATATTGTTTACGTTTTATTCATATATAATAATCTATAATTTACTTAAATAATTATTAAATTAGTACTCTAATTAAATCAAAAAACATTCAAAAACACAACCAATTACGTCAATGAGAACAAAAAGGAACAGAAACAATTATTATAGTATTAATATCAAAATGAAATTTGCAAGCAATGTCTTTTATGCTATATTACAAATTAATGTGTATTATTTTAATTTATAAAAATGAATAATTTTGTTTTTTATATTAACACAGTAAAGATCTGTTATACATTAATGCAAAAGTATTTTAAATATTTATTGTTCGTATTTTACTTTATCATCAAATAACACAATCTAAAATGAATGGAAATAATTTAAATCAATTTTCAGTGTATGTTTAGGAAAGGAATGATTTGCATAACACTTTCCTTTCCTATTAAACTCCAAATCACTAGAGAAATATGATAATTTCTAGAATTTACTTGAGCACAATGTTAAAAAACAACATGTGCAGAGTAGATATTGTCTCAATCACTAAACAAAGGCTGTATAATAACAGTAATAGAATGTATGTAGATCTAAAGCTGACGTATTCTCTCCATAATACTATCACGCGTCGTCGATTACGAATTGGTACAATTGTCTAGGAAGCTCCAGCGAGAATAGCTTCCGTGATGGGGCGTGTAGTCACACATTACACCTGTACGTAGTTCATCTACGTGCTCTTTACTCTAGACGTCCGCGAGAGGTGAGTTAGAGTGAGAGGATAGATATGAAGAAGAGAGATAGAATAAACAGGGAATGTCGGTTATCATCGCACGCAAGTCCCTCGCGGACTTGTACCTTCCTTCCTTCCTGCTGTTCCTCAGTTCACAGTGGAGTGTATAGTGTACAGAATATACTGCAGTACCTCACTATAACCAGAATAACTAGGGAGTACAGGCGTTGCCGCAACTGGCACGTTTAACATGCACCCTTTGTGCGTCAACACACACGTTCCCGCGACTTCATGAGTGAGAGTAGTAGAGTTGAGGGAACATACGCAACCCTCATTCCACCATGTGCCAACGAATCCCAAGTACTGATGGCAAAGCCACGTGGCGAAACTCCGCGATTCCCAAGCGACTCAATTAGCATTCAATGCATAATTTTCCGTGTTAATTCTACAAGGAACAACCGCATAATTAATTTGATATTCTTTGTATATTAGAGGATGAGAAAATGGTTGAAAAAAGAGACTCAGTCGCATTTATTATGTCGTTATTATTTTTAATCCATGCTTAATGGTCTTTTATTGCTTTTTATTATACAGAAAAAAAAGATTGAATCAAAATTATCCTACTTCTCAGGACATCCGGGTACTGGGTTAAATTTTACTCGGTACAGACAAAGTCAAATTTGTCCTATACTGTAAACATGATATCATACAATGATGAAAAAATATTTTTTTCATTAAATTTTTACAAACACATTTCGGAATAAAAAGTTGTGTCAAATTTATAGATAATTATTGAGTAGTCGTGATGTAATTATTGAATTTAAAAAATGCTTAAAAATATTTACAGTTTTTTGCATCAATTTTTATTCATACACTGCACTTTTTTTAGTATATAAATCTTTGAAAGTATCTCTGTGTAAGTAAATATGATGTAAAATCGTGATAAAAAATTTCAAATATGATATAAACCTGTCTATCGGGGTAGTTCTAATAGTTACTCTAAATAATAGAAAAAATAATTCATTCAAAAAATACTCTTTTCTTGTGCTCGATTCCTTTGAATATAATTATCTGAGTATTGGTTTATTTTAATGTTTAATTTTTTTCTAAGATCCATGATGTCTTAGAAAGTGAAAATAAATCTAATGTCACTTGCATTTAAACTTATCATTATCTTGAATCAAATATCAAAATACATTTCGTTAATTCGCAACAAAATATTTTATTGCAAATATTTTTAATTTTTTTTTATCGATCAAATGAACATTTTGCAAGAAATGAATTTTTTCGAAGCAAAAGGGTAAATTTTACTCAATCCTTCTTTTTGTGTGTCATTTACTGAATTGAAATTAAATATAAAGACTTATTGATAGCAAAATCATTTAAATAAATATTATGAGGATAATTATGCTTTGAATAACTTTAAATCCCTATCAATTGAACGTTATTTTTTATTGAAAAAATTTCTTTCAATTTATTCATCAGCTAATTATCAGATTAAAAATTTGTTTGCAAAGATATCCACAAGAAAAAAATCATTAAAGAGATCAGGTTATTTAGAAGCATAGTTTCTACAGCAAACCTTAGAAAAAGAGTTTGTATGGATAAAAAGAAATTTCTTTTATCTTCTCAAGTACCTTTCTGTACCTTAATCTCCCTTGTGGGTTGTTTTCATAATACTTTTAACAAAAGAAAGAAAAAAAAAAGATAGTGATAGCTAAATTAGTTGTTTTTAAATCCTGAATGGAGTAAATAATAAAAGAAGTATGTTAAATTAAATAATGTATAGGTTTTATCAAAAGTTATCCATCAAAAGTACACTCGTTAGTGAGTGGAAAAATGGTTTCCAGTGGAAGAAATTTTATAAATATACTCACAGTTTGAACTTCAGGAGGTTTGTGAATATAATGGAACATTAAAAAAAAAA